AGCTCTGTTTGCTTTTAGTTATGGTACTATACAGTTACACCACTGCACACAGCAGCAGGGCTGGGATAATGTGTGGCAGACTCCTGAGCTACTCCCAGGATTTGTTTGAATCTATGAACGCTTATAGGTCTGTGAAAGTTTACCACTCACATGGTTGTAAGTCAGAGCTTACTATATACACTAACAGAACTGACTGAGAAAGAAATGAGGAAAATAATACCAGTCATAACAGCATCAAGAAAAATTAAATATGAAGAAATTAATCTAACCAAGAAAGTGAAAGACTTCTACAGTGAAAACCACATCACTCTGGAAAGAGGAATCAAGGAGGACACTAGAAAACGGAAAGATATTCTGTGCTTGGAGAGACAGAACCAGTATAATCAAAATGGCTATCCTTTCCAAAACTGTTACAGATTTAGTGCAATTCTAAACAAAATACAAATGTAATTTCTCACAGAGTTAGAGAAAACAATCCTGAAATTTATATGGAATCAGAAGAGGCCCAGAATAGCAAAAGCAATCCTGGGTAACAAAAGCAAAGCAGGAGGCACCACAAGCCCAGATTTGAAATTATACTACAATGCTACTATGATTAAAAGAGCATGGTATTGGCACAAAAACAGGCATGTGGATCAAAGGAACAGCTGAGGACTCAGAAACAACCCAGGCACATTCAGCTATGTGACAGAAAGGCCAAAAACTTGCACTGCAGGAAAGAGCCTTCCTGATAAATGATGCTGGGAAAACTGGATATCAATGTGCAGAAGACTGAGTCTAGATGCTTATGCTTACCTTGTACTAAACTAAAATCAAAATGGGCCAAACTGAATTGTTAAAACAGAAACACTTCTCTGGAAGATAAAATAGATAAAGCTCTTTAAGACACAGGTATGGGCAAGGACTTTCTCAACAGAATTCCAGTGGCACAAGAAATAACACCAAGAACCAATTAATGGGATCATGTCAAATTAAAAAGCTGCACAGCAAAGGAAACAACTAACAGAGAGAAGCAACAACCTACAGAACGGGAAAACGTTTCTGCCTCAGATGACTAACATCTAGAATACATAAAGAACTTGAATTAGACCACACAAGTAAAAGACCTGAGCAAAAAATGGGTAACCAAAATGAATAAATAAAACGCTTCTCAGACGTCCAAATGGTCAATAAATACATGAAAAAATGTCGAACCTTTCTGGCCACTAGAGAAATGCAGATACAGAGAGAATGGCTATCAGGAAATGAAGCCACCAATGCTGGCAGGATGTGGGAAAAAAGAGCTCTTCCACGTGGGTAGAAGGTAAGGCAGCACCACCACTACGGAAATCAGTGTGGAGATCCTTTGAAAAACTAAAAACAGAAATTCCATTTGACTCGGCTATTCCCCTGCAAGGTATCTTCCCAGGGGAGTTAAAGTCATCAGATTATGGGGGACACATGCCCACCACGGGTGATGGTTTGGCTCATTACGGCCAGCTGAACTGAGTCAGCATAGTTCTCCACATGAGGATGCTGCTGGAAGGCATAAAAGGAGAGGGACATGGGTGCTCTGAATCTCCTGGAGAAGCTAGCCGCAGCTGGTTTTGCCAGTACGAACTCAGCTGTTCTCCTCTTGGAGGAGTCAGGTCCTTGCTGTCACTGGTATGACTGCTGTCCTCTTTTGAGTGAACTCTAGTCTTTCAGAGCCCTCAGCCTGCTGGCACAGATCCTGCATCCCACTGGGGAGATTTTCCAGCTTCCACCACTGACCTTTGAGCCTTCCCAGTGCAGATCCTTGATATAGACTTGCATGAAACACTGTCGTGGTCTCTAGGCCTTCGGCTGGACTTGTGTGGGATATTACGATGAGATCTAGGGCCTCAGCTGGGTATTTCGAGCCTCTAGTGCATGGACAGATCTCTTGCACTCTTCTGCATTTGACTTTTTGGGTGAATATTATAAAATAGTCCTATAAAGTATGTGTCTTCTATTAAATCTATACCTTTGCAAGCTCTGACCACAATACCATGTTTATAGCAGCATAATATACAAGAACTAAATCATAGAAATGGCCTGCATGTTTACCAACAGATGAATGCATAAAGGAAATGTATTTATACACAATGGAGTGCTTCGCTGTCAAGAAGAAAGACCTGAGGTATACATAAGTAAACAGATGCAGCTTGAGATCGTAATATTAAGTGAAATAAGTCAGACACACAAAGTTAAATACTGTATGGTTTCTCTTATATGAGAAATTTACAACATATATATACATAATGTATAATTATATTATTATCTATATGGCAAAATAAAAGGTAGTCAAATAGGAAGTAGGGAATAATGGGTGGGGGAATGAGAGGTAGATGGAGGGGATAGAAGGGTAGGAAAGGAGATGAAAAAGCCCAAAGAATTGAGGGGGAAAAAATGAGGAAAATAACTTTTGCACATGGGAAGGGGACCAAGAGTTAGAGGGAACAGGAAGGGAGAGGAGGGGTGCTGAACTAAAAAAAGAAGCATAAAGATGTACTGTGTGCATCTGCCGACTCCCCACAATAAATATAATCATTACGCACACTAATAAAAACGAAATTTAAAAAATGGGTGAAAGACCTGGACACTTCACCAAACAAGAAGTATAGATGGCCTGCAGCTGAAAAGACGATTTACATCCCTTGTCAGCAGGGAAATGCTGCCGGGGATTTAGCTCAGGGGTTCAAGCGCTTGCTTGGTAAGCACAAGGTTGTGAGTTTCGATTCTTGGTACCAAAAAAAAAAAAAGAAAGAAAGAAAAAACAAAGCATGAACAAAAACAGGGAAATGCCATGTTTACCACTAGGTACTCATCAGCATGGCCAAAAGTAAAATACACTGAGGCCAGGGATGTAGCTCGGGGCAGAGCACTTGTCTAGCAGATACGAGGCCCCAGAACCACACATACTCATATAAGTTAAAACAGAGTTTGAGTCCCAGTACCAAAAAAAAAAAACAAAAAAACCCCAAAAACCCAGTTAAAATATACCTGCATAAATTTTACCAGAGTATTTAGTCCAAAGTTGAAGGAAATATATGACCATATGAAGACCTATACAAAAATGTTTATAGCAACTTAATATAACAGACAAAAACTAGAAGTAGCAACCTGAATGTTCACACAAAGGTGAATGAATAAACAAATTACATTCTGTTTATGCAGTGCAACAATACTGAACAACAGGGGAATGAACCACAATAACACACAGATGAATCTGAAATTCACTGCACTGAATGAAAGAAGACAAAAAGAATATAGACTAAGATTCTTCACAACTCTAAAACTGAGCCAGGCATGCTGGGGCACGTTTGTAATCCCACAGCATGGGAAATTCAAGGCCAGCCTGGACTACACAGTGAGATCGTCTCTCAAAAAACTCGGGGCTGGGGATTTAGCTCAGTGGCATAAATGCCTGCCTCGCAAGTAGGCAGTCGTGAGTTCGATTGCTGGTACCGGGAAAAAGGAAAAAGACAAAAAAAAAAAAAAAAAAAAACAACCCAAAAACTCATAGAACTAAAGCAAGAGAAGACAAAACAAAACATCCCAAGCCCTCTGAAAACTACACTAAGAAAGCAGTTAAGTGAAACATAAGGAAAAAGTGGAGGTGAGGGTAGGAGAGAGGCAAAGATTACAAATCAATAGAAGAAAACTTCTGGGGATGATGGGTATATTATCTGTTGTGATAGTTTCACAGGTATAAATCGGTGTCAAAACTTATCAAACTACCAGATGCAGTAGTGAACATCTGTAATACAAGCTACTTGGGAGGCTGATGCACAAAGACTGTGAAGTTTAAGGCTAGTCTAGAAAACTTAGCAGGACTCTGTTTTAAAATAAAATGAAAGCTGGGGAGTAGCTCAGTACTCCCTGAGTTCAATTCCCTAATTCTACAACAAAATAAAACAAAACAGGGCTGGGGATTTAGCTCAGCAGCATAAGCACCTGCCTTGCAAGCAGGCGGTTGTGAGTTCGATCGCCGGTACTGATAAAAAGAAAAAAAAAATTAAAAAACAAAACAAAACAAGCAATGTCACTGTCGTATGGCTACTTTTTAAAAATTAAATTAAATTAATTAATTAATTAGGTGGTATTGGGGATTGAACTCAGGGCATTTGCACTGAGCTACATTACCAGTCCCCCTCCCCTTTTAAAATTTGTCTTTTTGAGATAGGGTCTCACTATGCAGTGTAGGCTGGCCTTCAACTTACTTTGTAGCCCAGGCCAGCTTTGAGCTCACAGTGACCCTCCTGCCTCAGTCTCTCAAATGCTAGGATTACAGTATGCACCATCATGCCCAACTCCTTTTTTTAAAATTTTGAAACAGGGTCTTGCTAAGTCCCTAAATTGCCCAGTTTGTGCTTCATCCTCTGAGAGTGCTAGGATCATGGGCCAAAACCCTGGTTCATTTTTATTTTGTTTTGTTATTTTTTTTTCCAGTGCTGGGCCCTGGAACCCAGGGCCTTGTGTTTGTTAGGAAAATTCTCTATCATCGAGCTATATCCCCAGCTCCTGTAATTAGTCCTTAATTTTACCTTTTGTATTTTTTATTTAACTGTATTTTATTAAAAAAAAAAACTCCATGTAGGTATGGTGATGCAAATCTCAGCTAATAGGAGGCAGGAGGACTGCAAGTTTGAAGCCAGCATGGCTAATTTAGCAAAACCCTGTCTCAAAATAAAAAGGGCTTGGGGCTAGGGATTTAGCTCAGTGGCATAAGTGCCTGCCTGGCAAGGTCATGAGTTCGATCCCCAGTACCACAAAAAAAAAAAAAAAAAAAAAAAGGGCTGAAGATGTAAGTTGATGCAAGATCATCTATGGGTTCAAACCCCAGTGCTGCCAAAACAAAACAAAACACACAAAAAGGAATTTGACAGCACAGTTAGTGAGCTGGCTGTGTTCTCCATCTGCTCTCTCTTCCACAGAAGACTGTACAAGCCATAAGAGGTCCGAGCAGTCTGGTCCTCACACTAGGAGCTTTATCTTACCCATCAATTTGTTGACGTTTTGTTTCTGAAGGTGGCCAATGAAGTGCCATTTGATCTCAGGACATGAAGACAGAACCTGAAGAGAAAGAGGAGACTGCATTTGACTCAGAGCTGAAAGTCTTGGGCTGTAATGCTTCATGAGAGTGCAGCGACCTTGCACGTTTCTGTTGTTCTTTAAACTGTTCTCTCCGTTTTCAGCCAGCCTCCCCAGAAGGCAAACAGACACTCAGAAATACCTTAGGCTTTTGCTCCATCCCCTTTTTCTTTTTTGCGGTACTGGGTATCGAACTCATGACCTGGCACTTGCCAGGAAGGTGCTTATGCCACTGAGCTAAATCCCTGGCCCTCCATCCCCTTTCTTAGCCCCATCAGCTCCCTCTGCCTTTCAGGCATCATCTGTTAAGGATGAACTGATTCAAACTTTCAAATCCCAGAAGGACATGGGATTACAGCGAGCTCCTACAAGAATCATTTCTAAGTAGCCACAAAGAAGAAAACTGCAGTTGAAACAAAGACAGAAAACTTAGCTGAGAATTATCTGGGGCTCAAGGTAAAAGTGGATTCTTCTACCCCCATTCCAACTTGCCGTTTTCAAACCTCAACCAACATGGGTCTGATTTTCAACTAAAGAGAAAAGATTAAGGTAAAAACTAGAGAATTCCAATATCCACTTACTTTAGGATTTGATGCTTTCTCTAGTAGTTCTTGAACCTAAAAGGTAAGACCATAACAAGTCAGGAGCCTGGCAATCATGATTCTCCCCAAGGGGCTCGGGAGAAGGGCTCTTACATAGTTTTCTCCAAAAGTGCGCTGGCCGTGACTGTAGGCCTCGATCACCAGCTCTGCAGGTTTGGTCTTGCTGACCGCTACAAGCCGGGGCTGGATGGCTGGGAGATCCTGCCAAGAGGGAAAGAGCCCCAGGAGTGACCATTCATGTATATTATTCTGATAAATCTCATAGGATTTCTTCTATAGAATCGACACGCATAGATCTTACTCTGGCATTTGTTAAGATATGACCTTCTAGTACTATAGGGAAGTTACTATAACGTAGCATACATTCATGACATCTAGGCCTAATGCTAACTACCCTAATAGCCAGCGGAAGATAGTTCTGTCTCAGGGCAGCAGGGCACGTTAAAGCGGTAGTCCTCTAAGGTGTAGTCTTCGAACAGTTACATCATGGTCCTGATAGGTGAACTGAATCTGAATCTATGGGCCTGGGGGGTCTCAGAATCTTTTTTTGAGGAGCTGGGATTAAACCTAAGGCCTTGTGTATGCTAGACAAGTGCTCACTACTGAGCTACATCCCCAGCCCTGAGAATGCTTTTTTCTTTTTGAGACAGAGTTTCACTATGTAGTCTAGGCTGGACTTGAACTTAGCATGAGCCTAGGCTAGTCTCAAACTTGAGATCCTCCTTCCTCAGCCTCCTGAGGGTTATGATTACAAGCGCACCCCTCATGCCTGGCTGAGAAGCTTTTTTAAACAAAACAAAACAAAACAAAACAAAACAAAACAAAACAAAACCCTCTAGTTGGTCAGATGATTCTCTTGCATATCAATGTGGGAATTTTTAAGAATCACTGCATCGGAAGGGTGCAGCTCAGTAATACAGCAATCGTTTGACAAGTGTGAGATGGTAAGCTTGTGCAGGCATACAGTATCACAGCACAAAATAAAGCAAAGGAATCACTTCCTTAAGGGAAAGCAGCACTCTCTAATTAACAGAGAGAGCTTACTTCTGGCTTCTGAAACCACAAGATAAAACAGTTTTGGAAACATGTCCTGGTCCTGGTGTAATTATTGCTTCTAGTCACTCTGAAAGTGGCTGCAGCATGATAATGATGTGCAATTTACTTTTCCAGCTATGACTTAACCACTCAGTACAGACCCGACTGGGACACAAACACCTCTGGACTCAGGATGAGACCTCGATGAGATCTTCCCACAGCCATGACATTCAGAGCAGGGATTCCCTGCATTCTGTCGCAGCCAACCCCACACAGAGGCAATCAAAGATGGGGTTCATTTATCCTCAAACAGTTCAGTCTTCACATCCCCTACCGCCTTCTGGAACTGTCAAAGAATCACTGTTCTCAAGGACCTGAAAGAATCAGGCCAATTAGTAAAGAGCCCTCTTCCTTTGGAGGGGCTTGCGTCCCCAGCCCCATATGAACCATTTCTAGGACATCGATGAATTGGGGGTTTTCAGAGGGAAAGTGGAAGGGGCAGCTTATCTGGCTGGGACTGCACCCAGGAAATGGGAGATTCTCTAGATTTTCCTTAGCCACTGAGAGTCACAGATCATTACTGCCAGAAGATCAGTTTTCAGAGGGCATCCCATTGTCTGTAGAGATGAAGAAACTGAGGACCATGGTTAAGTGACTTGTCCAAGGTAACACCTAAATAGTAAGTGGTTAAGGAGGACTGTGACACTGGTCCTCTACCTCCAGGTCAGGATTCTGGGATCTGAGACCCTAACAGCTTGATCAGCCAGCCTTTGCCCCTTTAGCTTTGGGCCTTTGTCATATTAACTCCTGGCCTAATGGAAAACCGAAACGGGGTATCATATATGCAGCAGAAAAGGAACATCCAAAGGGGGCCTGCAAATAACGGCTGATTTGCACCACCTGGGCCGAGGATGGAAATGACATCTGCCGAGCCGGCAGATGTCGCGGCACGCGCGATTCTGCGGAGCTCGGTTCCAGCGGTCTCCGGTGTCGGCCGCTTCTCCTGCCCGGGCTTCTGCCCGCAGCGATGGGGAACGGCCACGACGCCCAGACAGGGGTCGCCTTCTCAGAGAAGGGTTGCCTTCCCGAGTGGCGGGGTCCTTCCGCGTCGGAGCATCTGACACCCTCGTCGCCAGGTCCGAGAGAAGGCCCCGCCTGAGCCACCAGCGGCCTCCGCCTCCTCTCTCCCACCACGCCTGCGGCCCCGCCCCACCGGGGGACCCCTCTGCGTCACCGTGACGACCAGGTCCTCCCACGCTGGTGTCCCCCTCCTCAAAGCGGCCGCGCTTCGTCCCCGCGCGGTCCCCGTCCTCACCTGTGGCCGCCGCGCCACAGCCTGCTGCACGCGCTCGTTCACTGTCCGCAGGGCGAACCCGATACCCAGCTCCGCCGACATGCTGCCAGCCCTCCACATCCCCCGGGGAACGACAGTAGCCCCGACCTTCCGCAGCTAGGGGCTGAGCGGAGGCCAACTTCCGGTGTTCCAGCTCTTGCCTGACGCCCAATCACCGCTCATCACCGAGTAGTCTTACCCAATCGGCACTCGCCGACGTGATCTCCCCGCCCCCTGTGACGGCCATTTTGGGAAGGTCTCCCAAAAAGAGCGCGGAGGTCTGGTGAAGCGGGTCAGTGGTCTACGGGGCTGCAGGTGGCTGTTTGCTGGCGTCTGAGCCACCGCGGCTCCCTCCCTCCCTCCCTCGTGGGCTTGCCTGAAGCGAAGACCGATCTGTTCTCAGGCTCCCATTCATATAACTAAGATGTATTGTGTACACGCACCAACTCCCCACCATATTTTAAAATTTTAAAATTACTAAAAAATTGCCTTGCAAGGTTTGCCTGTCCCTGGCTTCTAACAGCTGTAAACTACTGTACATTTCTGGGGGGGGGGGTGTAGGGACTAGGATTAGAAACTGCTAGAGCGGAGGTAAAGTTTTTTAACATGTTGCATGGTTCCTGAGAGGAACTGTTTTTAAAAGATGTAACAGCGCTTTCTAAAGACAGGGCATGACTCAAATATACGGTTAGTTTTATTTTTTCCCTCCTTTAGCCAGGGCTGTCCTACAGAAACAATGCGATCCACATATGTAATTTAAAAATTGCTCATATCTTTATGAAATGAGTATATTTACTTAACCCAATGTACCCAAAATGATTTCCACAGCAAGCACTGGCAAAACTAGAACAGACCCCTTCCCTCCACAACCCCACTGAGAGCTGAAACTGGGCCTTTGTAAATGAGCTATGTTCCTGCCCTTTTACCTTTAGTTTTGAGACAGGGTGTCTTTAAATTGCGCAATTGCCCAGACTAGGCTCAGTCTTGAGATCCTCCCCGCTTTAGCCTCTTGAGTAGCTGGATTAGAAGTCAAAACCAACCCACTTGGCTTTCTTACTTTAAATCGTATTTTCTTTTAAAAAAGTGTTTATTTTTAATGTTGCAATTTAGGTTGGTCCTACATTCAAATTGCTGGCAGAGTGGCTAAAAAATGTCTTTCAAGCCAATTGAAATTTTTAAAGGCAAACCGTATGTTTTTAAAAACTTCATTTTGTATTCTAAATCCAGTAGCTTTTTGCTTTTGCTCTTGCTTGTTTCTTTGGTGTTTTTTCTTTTTTTGGTGCCAGGGATCAAACTTGCAACCTCACATTTGCCAGGCAGGCGCTTATGCCACAGAGCTAACTCCCCAGCCTTGTTTCTTTATTTGGACCTAGGCTCTGGCTATACATACAGCCAGCCTGGCCTCCAACTGAGACTTCTCGTGTCTCTGCCTGGTGCTTGGAACTCCAGGTGTGCGCCCTCACACCCGGTGAGGGATTAATTTTAGGAAAGTAATATTGGCTGCTATTACTGTTGGGAGAAAACTCGAATTCACAGTAATGAAGTGGGGTGCTGTTCTGTTAGAGCAAGGGCTAAAGTTTGTTCTCTGGGTTTTTTTGAGTGGTTTGTTAAAAAGGCCTTCCAGAAAGAAGGAGCAGTGTTCTCTTTCTCAGCTCTGTTCCCACATTCCAGGAAAGGAGATGGAATTTCACGGTTTGCTCTAGGAAAATAGCTCTGAGTAGAACTTATGCCACTGCAACAAGACACTTCTTTGGGTGGAATTTCATAGTCATTTACCACAGTATATGTGGCAAGATTATCTGTGAACTAGATTGCCAAACACATTAAGAGAAATTGTATTCAAATCTTTGTAGACATGTTTCTGTTCCAAACCAAGTGATACAAATCTTTAAAAATGACAACAGGCCTTTGTGGAATGAACCTAATACTTTTGTTGTGGAGACAGCTAGAAAGAACCTGCCGGCAGGATGTAGTTGGAGCAGCAGAGGGGATCATGGTGCAGGAGGTATGGCAGGACAGGATGAGCTGTTTTTTATTTTTAGTCTTTTTGAGATAGATTCACTATTCAGTTCAGGCTGGCCTTGCTGGGATTATAGGTGTGTGCCACCAAACCCAGCCTCAAGTGTACTATTTGGAAAGTACTTTAAAAACCATAAATACCTCACAAGCTGGGGAATGTGTAATTTAGATAACATGTCACCACACTGACAGGTAGTTGTATCAGCATTTAATAGATCAGGTCTCTCCTACAGATTGCAAAGCAGAGACACTTCCCCCACCCTTTATCCACAGAGTAAATAAGAAGGTGTTATTCAGTGCAAGGATGAATAAGAAAAGCTTTGTAGATTTATTTCTAGGGTGCTTTTCACTTCTAATAGTCTACATCTTATGAACACAGTGATTCTAATCTCATGGTCACTTTACATTCTACTTTCTTTACTTTTTTGGAAACAGCGTTTGCTATGTAGCCCGGAATGGACTTGAACTTGCTATGGAGTCCAGTCTTCCAACTCTCCATCCTCCTGCCTCAGCTTCCTTAGTGCTGGGACTACAGGAATCTAGGTTAGTTGTATTTTTGAATGTTTTATTCCTTTTTACAAATTAAATTATTTAAGAAATTTCAGGCGATTTGTTATACTCATCAAGGTCACTTAATGAGGTTGTCTTCAAGATAGCCTTTTTAAAAGGAATTTGATGTTTAATCTACTCATTCCACCTGCCCTACATAAGACTATAAATGTAGCCATAAGGTCATCAGTGAGTTCTGGAGACAGCTTAGGTCCTCTACTTGTAAATGGATAAAAGCAAGTTTCCAGAGATTAAGCATGCCTTGTGGTGGTTAAGAGTAAGAATTTTACCTGTAGCTGTTGTAAATTAGTATTTGACAGTGTTCACCTAGGCAATGTAATGTTCCCAGCAGGTTGACAGCTAACAAGGTAGCAGACAGAAAACCTAGTGGGAATGTTTTTATGGTCATGTCCACAGCAAATGAGAAACTTCATTCTAAAAGCCTTGGTAATGACTTACTCTGCTTTTTTAAGGATTTCTTTTTTGGGGGCTGCTGAGGAACTCATAATCTATGCAACATGAGCTCCACCACTGAGCTATACCTCTATCCCACTCATTTTTTTTTTTTGTTTGTTTGTTTCTTCTTTTACTGGGTACATAGCAACCATCCAGTTTAACCTTTATCTTTCTCTTCTGTTTAATCCTTGAAAAATGCCAAATCCAAAATCAGTTTACTGCCAATAACTATTTTTAATAAATCTCTCCAATAATTTGTAAGGCAAAGGAGAAAAAAAGGATTAAAAGGCCAAATAACCAGAGAAATTTTGTACTGGGACTTGAACTCTGGATTCCACGAATGCCAGGCAGGGTACTATGCCACTGAGATAATCCCCAACAGGAAGATTTTATAACCAACCTAAAATGTAGTCTATTTATTTACTATAAATGCCATCAAGTTTTTCAAACATTAACTTCTCTAGTCTGTGACCTTCTTTATGGAAAAAACCATACATAAATTTTTAAATTGTTTCTTTCTGACCCCTCTGTGATTCTTTTGAGGGGATTAAAGAGATAAAATAATAGGAAGTCAATGTGCCTGGTTACTTGGCTTTGAAGAGAAATGGAGAAATCACACACATCCTGCTCAAATGATCACCCATAAGCACTGTCACAATGTGACTTTGGAATGTCACTGGAGACTCCAACCAGAGAACCTTTAGGAGTCACCTCATCTTTCATGACACTGAAACCACCCTATACAGCCTCTGAAGACTAAGAAAATGCTATCCACACCAACCCCTGGATTATTTTTTATTTGCAGGCAACTATTTTCAAATTGCCCAAACTTATGTAAATTCTTTAAAAATACACAATTCTTCAAGCAAATTTGACCATTATGCAACTTAAAATGTGAATTATTGCACTTCCTGCTGGGCTTTTCTGGGTTAGCCCGTGAGGCAGGGGTGCGTGTGTGTGTGTGTGTGTGTGTGTGTGTGTGTGTGTGTGGTGTACATATGTACATACTGGGGTAACTCATGGCTTCACAATGGGCTGTATCTCCAGTCTTTTTATTACTTTGAGACAGGGTCTTACTAAGTCATTGATCGATCACATGGGATTTGAATGTTATTTATTTATTTAGGATTTGAGTTTGCGATCCTCCTGCCTCAGCCTCCCAGTGTGCTGGGATTACAGGTATGTCCCAACATATCTGGCTATGAGTTTTATTATAATCACTTTTTAGCTTCTTGGTTTTAACATTTTTTTCTTTCTTTCTAGCTTTTCAGGTTTGATATCCAGCCTAATGCTAGGGGAGTGCTGCACCTCTGTGCTGGTCCCCAGCCCTGTTTGGGGTGCTGGAGCCCAGACCCAGACAGTTCTTCCCTGCAAGGCCACACCTTTCCCACAGGCTCATTTCTGCAGGGGTGTGCATTCCCATAGGGCATGGCCACGCAAGTTCTCAGTGTGCCATCCTGTTTATAATCTTAAGTCTTTTTTGTCACTGTCACTTCATCGTTCTGTGCTTTTTAGCCTATTTTTTCCAGATGATTGAACATAATTTTTGAATTCTTGTAAATATGAAGCACAGCAGTAAAGCCCTTCATGTGCATTATTTCATAAAGTCCACTCACAACATTTTTGGGAGGATGTTCTTGAGATTAAACCCAGGAGCATTTCTCCACTGAGCTACATGCCTGGCCTTTTTTTATTTTGAGATAAGTCTTGCTAAATTGGCTGGTCTTGAATTTATCCCCCATCTCATGCAAGTAGCTGGGATTACAGGCATGCACCAAGCTATTCAGTCCATTTTATAGATGAGAAGTGACATGAACCTTAGAAGTCTACCTCCAATTACTCTCTCTATACAAATATATGTATGTAGCCGGGCATGGTGGCTTACGCCTGTAATCCTAGCGCTCAGGAGGCTGAGGCAGGAGGATCATTGCGAGCTCAAGGCCAGCATGAACTGCATAGAGAGACCCTGTCTCAAAAAGATTAAAAAAAAATTAAAAGAAACAAATGTATGTCTGTACACACACACACACACTTTTTTGAGACAAGGTTTCATTATGTAGTTGACTATCCCTTGAACTCACTCACTATGTAGCCTAAACTGGCCTCAAACTCATAGCAATCTTCTTGCCTCAGCCTCCCAAATGCTAGGATTATAGGCATGCATCGCTACACCTGGCTCCAATTACTGTACTCTTGATTTACCGATCCAATCTTAAGTACACAATATTTGTGTATCAGGCTCTCAGAGCAATAGAAATAGAGTAGAAGGCATCATTAAAAAAAATCCCCAATAATAGGACACGGTGGCACATGCCTGTAATTCCAGCTAACTGGAAGGCTGAGGAAGGAGAATTCCAAATTTCGAGGCCAGCCCTGGCAACTATCACAAAATAAAAAATAAAAAGGGTTGAGGCCATAGCTCAGTAGGAGTGTCCCTAAATTTAATCCCCAGTACCACAACAAAAAGGAAACTATTTAAAAAAACAAAAGATAAAACAAGAATGCCTGGATTATAGTTGCCACATCTGACAAACACAAGATACCCAGCTAAATGTGAATTTCAGATAAATATACAAAGTGCACAAAAAATGTATCAGGAAAAAAAAAGTTGTAAAAAGTTGGGAATCCTAAATTTACTGAGATATCGTGAGATACATACAAGTTACCACTCCAACAGGGGCTCACAGTGAGCTTTGGGCTGTGAGCTTCCAGCACGGTGAACTACTGACGTGGGCATACATTTCTGGGCAGACTCTGCATATGTATCTTAGTATGTCTAATGCAATATTACGGATCTGTACACAAATTACTGGTTATTTGTCTGGAACTTACACTCGCCGTCATCAGTTATCACCTGGTAATACTCTGCTTGGCAGCTGGCCGGAGCAGGGACTGGGACTGACTTATTCAACCAACCAAAACGAATCTGGGGTCAATTGAAAATAATTCTGCCCTTTGGCAGCCACGTATTCTTCTTTTTTGAGACACGGTCTTCTACATATTTCAGGCTGACCTTGAATTTGTGGTGATCCTCCTGTTTCAGCCTCCCAAGTACTGGGATTATAGGCATGTGTTGCTCTGCCCAGCAGCCATGTATTCTTTGAAATGATGAATCTCTGAAGTATGCGCTAGGAATTGTGTCATGTTCAAAAACTAAGGTATTATTTTGGTGGTGCTGTGTGGGTTGTGGTGTTGACAATGGGAAGATTTTCATCTCGACATATTTTCAGTGAGACTTGGCTCACTGACCAGGATGTTTGATTTCTTTATATCATATTATCTTAATAGCAGCTATCGCTAAACTTTACTTTCTTTTTCTTTTGTCTTTTTCCTTTTTATCGGTACCAGGGATTGAACTCACGACTGCCTGCTTGCAAGGCGGGCGCTTATGCCACCGAGCTAAACCTCCAGCCCCGCTAAACTTTAAACAAAAATGTGAACACAGACTCATTTTATTTAACAAGACCGAAAATAAAACTGAGACATAAATTCACACGAGAGCCTTTTGTGTTGTCCAAAACAATTCCTCCAGCTAGCGACCCAAGGCAATTATACCATCAGTATCATTTATAGAATGATTCATATAACAAGAATCATTACTCCATTACAAAGGGCATCATTAAGCCCTTGGGGCTCTTTGAAAAAAAAATTACTTTGACTTTTCAATCACCAGCCTACACAAAAGCAGAGATAAAAAGGAATGGAAATACAAACACACAATGATTGGCTATTACCTCTTTTACAAGGAAACACAGAAACAGTACCCTACTGAATAGAACCAGGAAGTAGTGGTTAGGTTTACAGAGTATCTCCAATCAAACAAATAGTCAAAGTCAGTAAATCTGATCATCGTACTTTCACTACTCCCCTCAGATGAAGTTTCAATGCTGAGAGATACACAGGCCTATAGAAATGGCCCCAGATTTATAAAATATCTCCTTAGTTTGGATCAATATATTGCTAAGTTCATTAGTGATTTCCTCTTCAATATAATCATAAGTCCCTCCAAATCCATTTTAGTTTTATAAAAATTATCAACAAACTTTGGCTTCCTTACAAACTTTCTGTCCTTATATTTAAAAAAGTGATTAAAAACAGTACTGAATAGCAATCACTTCTGCAAACTTTAACAAGTGAGAAACATTCCACCAGGTAACGGTTCTTTGGAAAATCCTTCAAAAACTAAATTTTATAAACATTTACTTATTTTGATAAAAGCTCCACTTACAAATAGCAGCCAGTACTTCACTGCCTACCAAACTGCAGGCTATCACATTTTACATGTTCAGAACTGAAATAGTTTCAGATCAAATTTTCTAATAAGCATTAGAAGGACAAAGATTCACAGATGCATTGGTAGCCCCGTTAGGAGACTGCTGACTTTGTGATTTGATTCTCAGATGGGACCTGTAGCCATGGGACCGGTGCTACCTGGCAAGATGCGGTTTCTAGTCTTCGTTTAATGTGGAAGTGACATTAACATGAGGGAAGGAGAGAAGGAGGGAAGGAGGTCAGAACGGAACCAGAACCGGAGAGACTTGAGTTAGGACCCTGAGGAGAGCACTTCCAGACTGCAGATAACCTTCCCTGGTAAACTACATCTGCTGATGCCCAGCTGGTGAAAAACTCCAGAGAAGCATGGACACCACGTGGCCAGGATGCCCTGCTGCCAGGGACAGAGGCAGACTGTGATTGGGAATGTTTTGCTGCCTGCAGAGAGCATGGCAGGGACCTGGCTGGAGAATTCTCTGTGTTGGGGACTAGAGGGGAAGGGCAGCGTGTGAAGGGAGGGAGTTAACACCTTGTCTCTTTCCAGGCAAACAGACATGAGGGTTGGGATATAGCTCAGCTAGGGCTGGGATTTAGCGGCACAAATGCCTGCTTAGCAAGCACACAGTCATGAGTTCAAGTCCCAGTACCAAAAAACAAACAAACAAAAACCAGGCATGTGGGTTTAAGAGACAATCTGGTTCCTCATTCACTCTTAGGTAAGCCAAACACTGCCCTGGTGCCTGCCAAGCCTGTTGTCACTTAGCACCATGCTGGCCTGAGCACTAAGACCATTTGATGAACCAGAAGCCCGGGGATAGAGCGAAAACTGGAGCGGGAACTACAGCCAAAAAGCATCTTTCATACCCTTCGCCTAGGGAAGACGAACATAACAGGCAGTTTTTGTTTTTGCTTTAGATGGGGACAGCTAATAACAAGGGCAAATCCTGAGGTCACGGTTACTATGCGGGATAAAAATATGCTTGTGAATTAACTCCAGAAGGCTGTCTGCCACTTAACAACCCTGCAACAGGCTGCAGTCCCCTCCAAACTCCACTTTCAAGACAAAACCTTTGTTGGGGAGGGTCACAGGATCTCACTACACAGTTCAAGCTGTGAGCTCACTTTTTTAGCCCAGGCTGGTCTCAAACTCACAGCAATCCTTCCATTTCAGCCTCCGGAGTGCTGGGGTTACAGGTGTGCACCTCCTCACCTAGTACATTATAAACTTTTGCTTTCCTTATCCTGTATCAAAACCAAACACTCCGACTGCATTTTGAGGCTTTCATCACTTGAGCCCAAGGTGTGGACTGACTTGCAGACAGCCCTCCCTGGAGGGCTACCACCAGTCAGAGCCCCGGGTGGCTGTGTGGAGCTCGGGTTTAAAATCACTTAGCTACTGCGGACAGGATCCTTTTAGCAGCGTCAGACCCTGGACACAGGCCAAGGCCGACACCAGGAAATCCCTTCGTGGACCCTTCCTCCTCCATGAGAGGTGGCAGAGCTCCTCCCTGTAGCACCACAGCAAAGACCTGTGCTTGAGGTGCACACAGCACCGGCCAAGCAGGTGCGAAAGCAGCCAGCTGGAGTAACGGACGTCCCAGGTCGGCAGCCTGGGAGACACTTAACTTGTTCCTATCTTGATGCTGCCCAGAACCAACACATGACTTGAGAAGAAAGCAAATCATGGATTAGGTGGAAAGTTTCAAAAAGATATGAGTGGTGGAGAGAATGAAGCCCTGACTCTGGAAATGTAGTTAGAGCCATGACCCTGAGCCCCAGGGAAAGGAGCGTAGTGTATAGAAAATCTTGCAAAATTTAGCACCACTTCTTCCTTAGGAGGGCTCTGAGACCGCCCTACTGACTTTGCCTCTGGGCGACTGTCTGCACACTACCAAAGCTGCCAGGAACTTGAGTGCTCCTGGCAGTGCAGCGGTTTTTTTCCTTCTGCTCAGCTGTGAGCTCCAGAGGTAAGGGGTGAGACAAGCAGACTCGAAGCCCCTGGGGGCAGTAGCCCACTGCTTAGTGACAGCTGTGGAATGGTGCCTGTGGGTCAGAGGTCAAAGCCACGGTGTATAAGTCTTAGCAGAAGCCACACAATCTACTTACGTTTATAAAACCCCAAACCATCGGTCCCTGCCCTCCCTTCCCGGGAGAGATAGATCTAAGTCCATTTCTTTTTCATAACAGTAACTTGGGGAGTCCAAGAAGGCAGTAAGGGAGGAAGAAGCATTCTGTGCCATCTCAAAAAATAAAGATCTCTGTGAGTGTCAGTGAGGCGGGAGCTTTCAGTTCTCCTTTCTGGGGGTCTCCACAGGCTCTTCCTCCACGTCGGAGCCCAGCGTCTCTGCCAGCCCTTCTAGCTGCCCACCTGGGCTGCCTGCATGGTCCATGAACATGTTGGGGATGTCTTTGCCGAAGTAAATCTTGCTGTTGGAAGCAATGGCCTTGTACTTCATCAGCTGCAGATATTCTGGGGTCAGCTTCAGCTGTGGCGAACAGCGAGGAGGCTTAGGTGAGATGAATGCTAAGAAAGCTAGGGGGACCCCCTGCAGTCTTCATGTGGGGGGGCCTCTTCCAGGCCCCCCCCCCCCAACACTAGTAATGGAAACAATTTCTCTCAGAGACAGTGGTCTAAGGCCTTCCACGTGGATGGTGAGATTTAGAAGTTACCACCTTAAACTGCTCCAGAGACCCCCGTCCCACACAAAACAGGGGTCCCGAGCGGCCCAGAGACTCTGGATGTGGCCGTCACCAACACCAGCTGCTCCCAGCACACACTCCCAACCCGAAGCCAAGCTGACCCTTACCTTATTCGCTTCAGCTATTTTCAGAGCAGTGTAGCACTCGGCATCGGCCTTTGCCTTCTCCCGGGCCAGAAATGCAGCATCTGGGGGTGGGGACAGCAGGGGCGCTCAGGAGACCATGCTGTGTGGGCTGCTGGTGTGGCTCAGGGGCAGGATTCCTGCCTCAGGGGAATGAAGCCTGGGTTCCGGCCCTAGCAGCCCCTACCCCCAAACAACTCACCCAACACAGATTGTGCTCTGGGCCCTGACACTTTTGCCTCTGTCACTCGGCAGACTGCTTTCTCCCCCTTGCTCTGGTTTCCTCATTCATGAAGCTAGGAAAAGGTATTTTTTTTCCTACTGTACTAGTTTTAAGGATCAACCAAGGAAAAAGTGCTTTGAAAGCAGGTATCTCTCCAGGACAGGGACTTGCTGAGCTATACCAGTGCTGGGGCTAAGACTGTATCCACTGACAGCATTAGCTACAGAAGGCTGCTGCCCACAGACACCTCCTTTCTCATGCACTTCCTTCTGGTACCGCTCCATTTCTGTGGAACAATGTGGTAGTGGCCTCTGCTTCAGGGTCCACTTACAGAACTTTCTATCTCAGCCCTCTCATGCTATATAGCTTAAGCAAGGGAAGCATTAAGAAGGTTCTGAATATGGCGAGAACCTCATAAATGAACACCATTAAGTGTAAATAATACAGCCCCTTGCCAAGTCTGTTTCCTTCTTATTTTTACCAGTCATCTTTTGAAGTGTTCAAGCTGACACAATTCTGAAAGAATTACATCCTGTGGTCCAGAGCAGCAGCCCTGTGGACTTGAGCAATGCACCTCCTACATGGCTGAGTCTGGCTTTCTGTTACGCAGAGGGAGCATGCAGGGTCTTCCCCCTGCCCCGGGACGAGGCCAGCCTTGTGGGAGGAGTGTTTGCAGCAGAATGGCTGGACAGGAAGTGTGTGTGCAGGGGTCTCAATGTGGGCCTCGGGCCTGGCCCTGTTGCTGTGCCACGACTCAGCTGCCACAGAACCCAATGACATGGGCTCTTGGGAAATAAAGGGTACTGATCTGCAGAGCTGCCAGTGGGGAGCTACTGCCCTGTAAAATCCTAATTGGCTCCTCAGTGGCCCTGCCGAGCCTGACAGGCCTCATAATGAATGCAGGTGGATGCGACGCAGAGCCCTGGAGCTGCCCTGAGGGCCCATTTCTGTCTTAGGATTTGCTTAAGAGAAGGCACTTCATGAAGTAAAAAGAGTGGGATGGAGGTGGAAACTCAGGGCTGGTGAAGAAAACCCATCAGCACCAGTGTTCTTGGTGCTGAGCAAAGTGCCTCTTTTGGAATAATTTATAGGCCCTGAGTGCAAACTTGGAGATCACAAAATTGGCACCATCTGACTCTCGAGGGGGACAAGGAGAGGGCAGTAAGCTGTTGCTGTGGCCGTCTCAAGCCCCTGTGAGGCTGTGAGCTCCAGGCCAGTAGGGACCATGACTGCCTTCTCTCAGGCTGAGCAAAGAGCCTGTGTGCCACAGTACTCAATGTCTGCTGAATGAAGGAATGGACCCAGATGTAGGCATCAGATGCCGGCCTGGTGGAAGACACCGCCAAACCCCATCTCAGCACAGAGGAGGATGCATGTTTCAGGGAGGTTACCATGTCCGAGAACACAGACTAAAGAGCGAGGGGAACAACCCTGTCACTTGCTTGCCAAAAAGCGGGGTTGAGCAAAACTCGGATATCAGTGCCACTTTGCTCACCTTCAATTTCTGAAATCCTTTTCTCCGTCTCCTTCTCCATGACCTTCTGCCCATAGGTGATTTCTGCAACCTGAGCCACTTTTTCTGCCTCTGTGTAAATGAGGGTGAGGAAAGACTCATTGACTGCACTCTTCACACCACGTAGTTATGTGTGGAGGGAGAGCCTGTCCTCAGGGGCCAGCTGTGCCACGCAAGCCTGGAGGGCACAGCGGTGCTGCATCACTGAGACAGGCACAGGAGGACCCGGATCAGGGAGCAGAGCTGTTTGTCTGAGGAGAGTGAGGACACCTAACTTCGTTTCCTTTCACAGGAATGTTCTACTTCCTTGTTTGAGACCAGGTCTCTCCATGTATCCCAGACTGGCCTTGAAATCACTGGGATCCTCTGCCTCCCAAGTGCCAGGATTACAGGTGAGAAGCACCCCACCTAGATCCCACAGGAGTGTTTATGGACTGTTTCTACCATGTGCTTCACTTTAGGAAGCACTCAGCTTGGCTGGTGGTCCTACAGTGCAGTGACCAGGAGCATAGTTTTTAGAGGCAGACTGCCTGGCCTGGAAGCCCAGCCCCTCACTTCCACACGACTGGAGACCTCAGTTGTATTTAACTCTCTGTGCTTCAGTCTATTAGACTGAGGTCAGGACACTGCTTCCTTCTCAGGGTAGGCATGAGGACTGAGCTCCTGCACACCCCAAGGGCAGGGAAGTACACACCTCATGGTAATGTGCAGTATGCGATGGCCATTATTTTAGGAATTACCCATTAACGAGAAAGCCTCCTTCCACATAAGAGGTAGATGGAAACTCTTCCTCCCCCAATCCCAGCCCTCCTGCCCCAGATGAGGAGTGTAGAACCATCATCAGACCAATGAGCGCTTTCTTCCGCTCCGTCTCGGCTTCCTTCTCCACCACCTTCTGTTTCTGAGCTGCGATGAGAAGCTTTGTCTTCTCGCTTTCCCTGAAGGGGCAGTAAGGAGGAGCCGAGGTCATACAGTGAAGCTGCTGGGTAGCTTCACCACCTGGTAGAGAACCAGCTCTTCTCTACAGAGGCCTGTTGATTGCTCACTCCCCCTGGAACCTCCAAGGGCCCAGGGGAAGCTGGTCAGCTGCAAGCAGCAGCACAAGCCTTGCCAGAGTCTGGATCTGGATTGTGCCTCAAGGCTTGGTTGCCAAAGCAGCAGTGTTTCGAGGTGGGGCCTTTGGCAGGGGGGTGTGCCTGGCTCAGGAGGGTTCCCTGTGCAGTGGTTTGGGAAAGGGCTGACTCTGCATCCTGGCTGCCTGGGGAGCAGCTTTGCTCCTCCACCTGCGCCTGGCCATGATGCTGGGCCTCACCTCAGCCCTAAAACAAGAGCCAGTAACTACACTGAACTTGTGCAAGAGCCGGAGCCAAACTGAAGCCGTCTGCTCTGAAGCACCTGAGCTCACTGAGGCAGAGCGAACGCAGCTTTCCTTCACCTCCAGGGTAACTTTTGGGAAAGAGAATCTAACGTAACAGCCAGGTACAGTGGCATTTGTGACTACAGCACCAACAAATCGGAAGACTGAGGTGGGAGGATCACTAAGCCTAGGACTTCCAGACCAACATGGACAACATAAGATTCAGGCTCAAAGCCGAGCCAGCTACCGATTCAGCGCATCTTAGTAAGTTATATGTGCTTGTGCACCATCTTTCTCCTGTGTCCACCTCTGGCATGAGCCATGGACACAGTGCACAGCTTCTGGCTTTCTAGAAGCACCACTGCTCTCAGTCAGAGATAGAGCCTGGCAGGGCCCTGATCGCCAGCCCAGTTTAATAGTGTGACAGGCTCTAGCAGGTACTTGAGAAAGGGAGTGTAGAGCCTGGTGCAGGGAGGACAGGGCATACTCACATCAACTCATAGTTTCTTCGGATTGCCTCGGGGATATTGGGCTTGGTCACCCGCACGGCCTGGAGGACACAAAGAGCAGCTGCTGGGAAGGTCAGGGAGCTAGGGCCCATAAATTCTCAAGTGCCCTAGGCCCTCCTGTGCAGAAAGCACATCTCCGAAAGAGAACATGCACTGTCACTAAGGACTCTCCCATGGTGGCAAAGCTTACTTGGATGACAAGCCCAGGGGCCATGGAGGTCAGGTCCTGTTGCAAAGCCAGCTTGAGATTTTCATCTATCTGATCTGGAATCAAGAAAGACACAGGAGAAGAGCTGTTATTCTCTCTGGGAAGTGGAGGGCATGGCACAAGTGGGAACACCAGCTCAGGAATGTACTTTGCAGGCAAAAGGTCTTCTTGAAGGAGTGCACTCACCAAAGCCTAGAAACCTGCAGGTCTGCTGGAGGTGAGCACCTGAGCAGCCTTGCATGAGCAACATGGGGAAGTTTCCTTTCTGTAGCATGAGGTAAAAACTACCTTTGCTGTTGAAAATGCAAACTGTGCCCTACGAAGATTGAGCTTAAGAAAGAAAAAGAGGGCTGGGGGTTTAGCTCAGCGGCATAAGCGCCTGCCTTGCAAGCAGGCGGTCGTGAGTTTGATCCCCGATACCGATAAAAAATGAAAAAGACAAAAAACAAAACAAAACAAAGAAAGAAAAAGAACAATCCTAGCACATTCCTTACTTGGACATACCTAGCTTTTCCCTGGAATAACTGCAGCAAAAGAGAAGGTAGGGCTATACTGTCAACGAAGCAGGAAGAGTGAGTTATGTTAGGTCCACCGAAAATAGGTGAGCAATTAAATCTACTAATTTTAGATGTTTCTAAAAGATAAGACACTGAGCAGCCCAAAGAAGACCATGAAAATAAAATTGGGCTGGGACTTGTAAACAGAATCACCCACCTCCCTCGTTGTCAGCTGCTGTCTGCTTTAAGTGACCATTTCTTGGTTGGCTGTGCCCAAACAAGGCGCCCTGTGCAACAGCGAGCCTACTTCCTCTTAGAGATGCCAAAACTGAGGCCCACGGAAGCCAGCTAGCGCCCAGAGCGAACCTGCTACCTGGAGTCCAGCTTGGTGATGGAGCCTTTACCCGCTGTCAGGGAAAGGGGTCTGGATCCCACTTCTAGCGTGCCAAAAGCAGCTGTTTATTACCATGCTTTGACTGTCAGGATGCTAAACAGCGCTTTATTCAACTGTCCTACCAGCGATAAGGGGGCTGTAACGTTACCACATACTGGTAACTTTTTTTTTTTGTCTTTTTCTTTTTTATTGGTACCGGGGATCGAACTCACGACTGCCTGCTTGTAAGGCAGGTGCTTATGCCACTGAGCTAAATCCCCAGCCCCCCACATACTGGTAACTTCTATACACTCCTTAACACTGAGGGAGAAATGCCAGTCAGTCAGCATCTTGCAACGGATGTAGACCTAACAATATAACTACAAATAAACACTATTCTTTTTTCGTAATTTTTTTTTTTTTGTGGTGCTAGTGGTTGAACCCAGTGCCTTGCTAATGCTGGGCATGTGCTCTGCCACTGAGCTACACCCCTAGCTCAAACTCAAACTTTACATAGCCTCATTGGCTGTCCTTGGTGGCACATGCCTCTAATCCCAGCATTCTGGGAGGCCAAGGCAGGAGGACAGCAAGTTCAAGTTCTGTCTGTGCAAGACTCTACCTCAAAATAAAAAATAAAGGGAGATAGATGTAGCTGAGTGAGAAGACCCTGGGTTCAATTCCAAGGAACCCAGAAAAAAGAAAAGGCTGATTGCCTGTCCTCTGTTTATCAGACCAAATTATATCTAGATATGGCAGAAACCCATGGTCCAGGTGAAGTCTAGAACTATTTGGTCCAGTGTTTTACTAACACTATTAACACTTCGTTTATACATGAGGGCAACGTTAATAAATATCAACTAAGTTACAGCATTAAGAGAACACCAGGAGCTCTGCAGGTTCTTGAAAAATGTTCTTCTAAAATGGACAAAAAGGAGGCAGCAGAGGAAGAAGTGACGAAGGCTGGGCAGTCACATCTAGAGCAGAGACTGTGCCGGTCCGGGCAGGAGCTGTGGGAGGGCCTCCCAAGCTCCCGGCATCTACCACCCACCAGACAGCTTTCCTGACAGACACGCGGATTCCAGGCCAACAGTGCTTGCCAGCAAGAGAGAAGCTGAGGGGAACAAGGTTTTGAAGGGATGTACTTTCTCAGCTCCTGGATACAAAATTTATACTTCACTAAGCTACCAAGTTTATGCGTAAGACAGTAAGTATTCCAATGCACAATTTAATTTTCTCTTTAGGGACATGAGAGATACTTTGCCTTTTGTTGTTTCAAATACTTTAAAACATTCATTTAACAGAAAAAATTCTAAAACAACAGCCAGACAGAAACTAGCATTTCATAAAATTCTATTTGAGGTAACAAAAATCAGTAGCAAATTTATCAATTTTTTCTTGAAGACAGTGAATCCAAAAGTAAAATCACACAAAACCTTGTAAAAGAAATTCAGATTCATTTTCTCTTGCTGAAAATTAAAAGTGATTTTGATGACTTCCTAAATTTTCAAGAGTACAAAAGTTTATTTCCCTAATTATAACGATAGGTTACATCAATGATTTCTCCTTCCAAAACCATTTGCAGGTTAGGGCTGTGGTTCAGAAGTACACTTGCCTAGCATGCATGAGGCCCTGGGTTATCAGCTTTGGGGGAAAAAAAAGTCTTGCTCAAAGTCTATCTTATGAGAATTCCTAAAAAAAAAAAAAATGTTTTCCAGAGCTAGTTTCAAGAAATGTTCATTAACTTTTAGCATTGGCTACTAGGAAATTTCTAGAAGCAAGGTAACTATTTTTCTCCACTTATTTTTAAAAACTTGTGAGTACATGTTTGGAGTACTAGTACCGTCACTGTGATAGAAGCAAATTTAAACAAGAGCACAAAGCAGTTATAACCATTAATGAAATGTCTTTTTCCTTCACCGCTGAAAAGAACAAAAGACGTCCACTAAAAATGTGGATCCCTTTTGTTTATTTTTTTCCCAGTCCTCTTTATAGGGACAACGTGAGACCCACCCCACCACCTTGGGTGCTGTAACAGGTTGCAGCTCTCACTCCCTCCTAGAGAGCACAGTGAACAATGTCATGCTTATCACCTTCACTCAGAGTGTCCTATGACACTGAGAACATGGAAGAAAAGAATACTGATGTGACAGCAAGCTCAGTAGGAAGATTCGAGTTTCAGTTTTGCTATCAACTAGCAACTAGCTCTATGACCTTCTCGCTCTGGGCCTCGGTGACAGGAGAGGAAGGTTCCAGTTTCAGCTCTGCTATCAGCCAGCTCTGACTTTCTCACTTTGGGCCTCTTCAAATAAGGATACTGGGTCACACAACTTCTAAGTTTCTTCTGAAGAAGACACTGTCTTCATTGTAGGATATTTAGGGACAGTGAGGGCACGTTTCCATCCATGTCTGCTTTTGGCAGGAAGGGAATACTTTATTCTATGGTGAGTCCCATGCACCAAGCTCGCCCACCCCTAGCATCTTATTCCAGTGTCACCCACACTGTCCAGAGACACCCTTGTGACCTGTTCCTTGCGACATGTGTCGCGCCCCAAGACAGCTCAGGACCAGGCAGTGGGAGCCTCCTTACCAAACAGCTCTATGTAGACCTCTTGAAGTGTGTGCACGCTACAGAACTGGTTCAGCTCGTGGTGGATCTTGTTGAAGATGAGCGCCTTGTCATAGTCGGCAGTGTAGTTCTTCACAATGTCGTACACTGCATGGTTGGGGAGAGAGGCGCAGCTTCAGAATGTGCCAGACGCCCTCAAGCTTCCTCTCCCACAGCAGGCCTCCCTGCTTGAGGGGGGAAATGGGGGGTTGAGAGAAAATGGAAGACACACCTGCGTTTGGGACCAGGAAGTTCACCACTTCAATTCTGTCGAAGTAGATCATCACACCACCACTGTTGGAGGGAAAAGGGGCAAAGATGTCACTAAAAAAGCCCCAGAATATGACGCAGCTTCTAAGATGTGTGACTGGCAGAAAAGGAGCAGCGTTTGTGGGATGTGAGGCAGCTTGGATCTCCAAGGAGATCTATGGAGCTCACAGCAACACCCCCACCTCCTGAGGAACGATGCCTCTAAAAATACTCCTGAGAGATGAATGAGACCTTGGGTTCCAGGGAGAAAAGAGCAGCTCGTGTCTTTTGAATCAACGTCTTCTGATGAACACTGTCACTGTGGAATTTTATGGTCCATGTTTACCACCGCTTTAGATAAAATACTCATAATAAAAACGATCATGCACTCCAGCTCTTCACAAACCTACGATCCTCTCTCTGGCACTTCACTGCCTCATCAAGGCAGAACAGTGAGCCAGGGAATAGGGAATCTGGTAAAACCACCAAAGCACTGTGTCACTGTCTCTTCCTGCAGCCAGCCAGCCAGCCGTTCCTCTTACTTATTGGGGCTTAACAACTTTATTCTGGGTCCCTTACCTGGTCCCACAAGGTACATTCTTCACTTCGTCAGTCTGAAGTGTGGTCTGGGAACAGAAGAAATATCAAATGCTGTCAGATGGGCAGTGACAAAGTAACCTACTATTCAGAATCCCAAGTGCCCTCAATCTTGTTTACTTGTTTGGACTGAGCTTTGCTGGTGTTACCCAGGGATATCCTGCCTGGTTTCCTGCCTTACGACACAGGAGAAAATTTACTAGATGTCAAGTTTGTCATGTTGATGTCCCCCGACACTGAAGAACGGATTCTAGGGAAGTTAGGAGTAGGAAAGATTTTTATTGAGAGCTTCCGATAGGAGAGGACCCGAAAGTGAGCTATCACAGAAGTCATTTCTCCAGGAATATTTTATAGAGCAAAAATTACAAGGTGGGTCCAAAACCACAAAGGAAGTACAAACGTGAGTCAAATTATAATCAACCAGTAAGATCACAAGTAGAGGTGCTTAGCTACTACTGAGCCAACAGGGAATCGGAAGGAAAAGGTCATTTTGGGGAAGGGATGGGCCCGGATGTTCTGGTCATCACCCAGGCAACTGATGCCAATCTGGACTCACTGGATCAGGTGGTGCTCATTCCAGTACAATCTTAATGTGCCATTCGTTCCTTAGGGAAGCATGGAAGTCTGGCCACTGTGATGCCCCTCCAGCCACAATGTTGTGTTCTCACCTTCTGCAACGAGTCCTTTCAGGGCCCAGCCCTATCTAACTGGTTATTAATTTTATCTAACTTAGCTGTTCATAATACTTACAGGGTATGATTCTAAAGTAAGCAAAGGTACTTCCCCTACTTGCCCTGAAAGCTGACCATAAATGAATGAGCAGAGTAGTAACGGCTTAGTCAAAAGGACTCTGGCTTAGGAATCTTACAAATCTTAAAGACTTTTAATATGTCCCTACTGGCATGAACCACCAGTGGCACATGCAGGACTGTCCCATCCAGCAGCTTGTACCACAGTGATACGAATGGGTCTCATCACTTTGTCTTTTTACTAGTAAAATTAATAATAAAAAGCTGCTTGATCGGATAGTAATGTATGGACCCCTGGCAATTCAAGCTGCTTGGCAGCAAGACATGAATTAGAGCCCAGCTCTGTGGTGAACTTGTTAAAGAATCTTAGAAACCTTAAGACTTTATGCTTCCACTTACCAGTTCTGCAACAGTAACCTGTTAAGCCTATTCTCAGGATTACTATGGAACTCAAATGATGTAACCAGAATATACTGTGAATACCACAGAGCATGTTAAGTGGGAAAATGACGATGAGGTATCTTTGTATCTTGCTGGGTTAGCTTAAAAGTTATTCTTGAAATCTTTTGATTCTTCCTAGTTGGACACATCTCATAGATGCCTACTCTAACACAGTCAAGCTTTAGATGTTACAACTAATCTCACTCCTAGTTTTGATTGTCATACCCTTGCCCAATCCAACTTCCTTTCTCCTTGCAAAAAAATAAGCTCACATTTCTGAAGTTTAAGAACCACCAAAATGGTCGTATTGTATTTCTATGTATCATGGTAGTCTGTGACTGGACTTTTCGTCTATTATCTGTGTCCAACCTTTTGGTTTTGCCTAAGCTGCACAAGGTAAAGAGGTTCTCAGTCATATATAAAACATATGATATGGGTAACCAACAATATTTTTAAAAATATATTTTTTTATAGTGCTAAAAAAAAGGGGGTGAGTGGCCTCTGGGCCGCAGATTGGATATATCTATAATAGATGCTTCTCTGGCTTTGTCTTGAAGTGAAGAAATAATTACCACTTGCAGTTGATGAGCCAAGGCTTTATTCAGCTATTTCAAAAACCGAGTAAAGCTCTAAGAGTTTCATTAAATCAGTCTCTGAAAAGGCCTTTACCTACCCAGTGGCTCAATAATTTCAAACCATGTCCTAATCAACAACCCAGATTTGCAGTCATCCAACCACAACACACAGGCCAAATATACCTGAACGGACTTATACGACGTGATGAAAGGAAGCATGAGATGGAACCCAGGGCCGCTGGTGGAAGTCAGCAGGGCGCCACCTCTGCAGGAGAGGGAGGGAGAGGCAAGGTCAGCACAGAAAGAGCACGCTAAGTGGGAAAATGGCAGTTCAAGCACAAAGTTACAAAAAGGAAAATGCCAGATCAAGGCCCTCTGGGCCACCTTTCCCTTCTGCCTTCTAAACATTTAACTGAAGGAGTGACAGGTGCCACAGCCACGTCCACGGATCCCTTTCTTCCTTTCTTACCTCAACCGTGGTATTCTAGGAACCCTAACGGTAAAACATAAAACGTTTTCGCAAGAAGAGAAACATGTATGCAGGCTAAGTGAAATAAAGATAGCAGAATGCCTGGCTACACTCAAGATAAGGAAGTTTGTGTTACTTTGTCAAATTAGTTTATTCTGTGGCAATCCATTAGGGCAGTTACACACAGTAACAGAGTTATCAATTGGCTGTGCTGTGGAGTCCAGTGAGATGGTCAACTCAGAAGAATTTTAAACACACCTTATGTTTTTGGTGCTGGGGATTGAGTCTAGGGCCTTGCACATGTTCTACCGTTGAGCAATATGCCTAGCTTGCCTGGGAGTTTTAGATATCCAGAGATAAACATCAGAAGGCACACTTAAGAAAGGGCTCATAAAAACTTAAAGCAAAAATCTTGGTCAAAGTTACAAAAAGAAAAGCAGCCCAAGATTTAAAAGTGCTTCTCTGGTTTTTATTATGAAGTCAAAGCTCATTTTAAAAGATAAAACATACTCTTTCACTGTGAGGAACATTGATTGTATCACGGATTTTGATTGATAGGAATCAATTTGCAGGGCCGTTAGTTTTGCATGACATGTTCATCTTAGAAGAACCTCCCAAAGTAGGATGGGCTGTCTCCCAAAACTGCCATCAAGAACTGAGACTCAAAAATTTTAAAGAGGTATCCTGATGGTGTGGAACCAAGACTCCCAGATGGACGCAAGAGACAGTATTTCAAGAATGATCTGCATTGGTGGGAAATGCTGGTTCCTTGAGGCTTGTCTCTAAATCTACATTATGTCAGCATCATGGCAGAACATGAAGGGAAGTTTTCACTTACACACACACACCGTTTTTCTTGTCACTGACATAAGGCTAAACATAAAAAGACCACCCTAGTCAATAAAACAGCAACACAGATATTCAGCAGAATCAGCAGAAAGCGAGTCATCTAATAGGAAGTTGCAAGCGTCCTTTCTTGCCTTACCTGTAATATACTCCAATATGTCCCTCTTCTATCTTGTGTACAGCTGAGAAGAGAGAGGCACACAAGAAACCGGAAGCCAGCGCCACAACTGCTCCCAATTGAGCCATCAGTGAACTTTTATCCTAGGAAAAAGATACGGGAAAATGTGTGGTCTGATGCAAGGAAGACAAACTATGCCAGCGAGAGACTGTCACCAAACTGAGCTTCCTGAAAGTGACTCATACAGCCTGCTGTAGTAGGGACACAAGGGCAGATCCACACTTTCTTCCTTGCTGTCAGCCAGCAGTCCCATGCCTTAACTGGACTTACATTCTCCACCACTCCTAAGCGGCAAAGAGGTGGCAGCCTTTGCCCTAGGGAGGACGGGGCCAACGGGGCGGGGTCTAGAACGTAGCCTTCTCCTCCTGTGAACATGAACGAGCAGTCCCTGGAGCCTCTCACGCTACTAAAGGGGAAAGAGGCAGCTGCACTAGGCTGGCCCAAATTACAGAGGATGCCAAATGGCAGGCAGTTGTGGCTATGTAATTCCGGTCAGAGCCTCCCAGTTCTAATTGCTGCCATTTCAAAAAGAAACCACGGTTTCCTCTTTTCGGACACTAGAGACAGAGACAGCAGGCAGCAGAGTTCCAGGGTTGGGTTCTCTGGGCTCTCATCCATTTTCTCGACTACTCCTTCGGACCTAGAAGGACAGGAATTCTACGGGAGGCACGACCCACATCCCCAGGATCTTTGCGTCCAGGGGAAAAGGAGACAAGGAACGAGCGCTCCAGGCTGGGTCCTCGTGGGCTCTTGAGTTTAGCTGCGTTCTGGCACCAAGATGCGGGGAGCGGGCACCTAGCTAGGAACTCACTTCCTGGAACTGGAGGCTCTGGAAAACTCTGGTGACTGACAGCAGAGTTGGCTGGGTGCACCCGGACCATGCGCGCGGCTCTGGGAGCAGAGGTCTGCGGGGCGCCCGTGTCCCTCACGGGCCGCCCCGCCCACCTCGCGACCCTTCCGCCCTCCTCGGGACCGGCAGGCAGCCTCCGTTCGGGCCGCCTGGGCGCGGGCAGAATGGGCTTCCCTCACGCTCTAATCAGCCCGTGTCCAGAGACAGGCTGCGGGGGCCAGGGCCCCGGAGCCCCTCGACTCAGCTCAGGTTAGCAGCGGCAGCGAGGCACGGAGCGCGCCTGAGGGGCGGGGGCTGCGTACCAGGCTGTCCCTCCAGGCGCTCCGTACGCGTCCGAAGCCGCGTGTAACCGCAGAAACCGCCACACTACTCAGCACGCTACTTCCTTCCGGGCCCGTCGCTCCGATGACGCCATCAGTTTACGCGAGGCCACACCCCCTCACGCGGCCTCGCATTCGGCTCCGCCCCTCGCAGTCGGTTCCGCCCCTCGCACTCAGCGCGGGCCGTGTCCGCCGCCGGCCGTGAGAGGGCGCACGAGACCCGATCCGGTGAGCGTCGCTGGGCTCGGCCGCGGACCCGGGCGGTGAGCGGCGAGCCGCGGAGGTCACTCTCCGAGTTTCTCACTTTTGCTCTGGTTCCGGCTTCCCCTCCACTTTAGGTCCGGCCAGGCGTTTTCCTGTTCCCGCACGGCGCGACTCGCCTTTCCCTTTCCGGGGAGCTTTAGCCCTGGAGATCGCCACAGTCACGTAAAGTGATTAACGAGGAATTATGATCCCTGTTTTAAAGAGCGCAGTGTGAGAGGTGCACTGAGGTGCAGGGCAGCGAAGCGATTCTTGGCAGCCTGGGCCGCCTCGTGGCCGGGTGGCACTGAGCCAGGTGCGGCCGGCGGCGTCGCAACGCATCGCTGGGACCAAGTCTTCCCAGCAGCGGCCGGCCGGGTGCTCGGGGCTAGGACGCGGGAAGATGATGGAAAGGCGGCAGTGTTAGATGAATTTAGGACTGGAGAAGGGAAGTTTAGTTTTTCTAGACATGCCTGCTTGGGGTTGATCGGCCCGTTCCCTCTTGCAGGTTTGCCCTGGGTGGGTTTCTGTCCGACGTTCTAGCTCGGTTAAGCCGGTAAGTGGGCTGTAGGGTGCGCACTGCCGTACCTGAGGGCCCCTCCTACCTCGACCGCCGTGCCCAGCAAACACACTGACCGGTCGCTTGATAGATCCTGTCAGGGCTTGAGAGCCGTCTCTCCCTGGGTGCTAGGCTTGCTTGACACATATTATTTAATAGATGATTGATGAACAAGAAAAATATGTATTTAAATTACTTGTGATTGACGAATTTCCTCGCTGTAATCCTAGCATTCTGGGAGTCTGAGACAGTAGGATCACAAATTCCAACTTAGCCTGAGCGACTTAGTGATTCGGTGAGACCCTGTTTTGAAATAAAACCTGGAGAAGGGGTTCGGACGTGAAGACCCAGGGTTCGACCTCCAAAACTGAGGAAAAAAAAAAAAGAATTTTTTAACTGTCACATTTTGGAATGAAAGGCATACATGGAGTGTGGCAGTCCCAGGAGTTCCCTCTCAGGGCCTTTTACCAGGCCTGAGGTATTTAGTGTGGCCCTGCCTAGCAGCAAGAGGTAGATGCAGTAGCCGATGACCTAACATTCTGAAAACCCCTTTCTTAAGAGGTCTGTGGTATTTATGCCTCAGTATCCAAAGTAGCCAAGCAGATAAACCTGTGATGATTTTTTTCACGGAAGTGTTTATGAATACACGTTTCAGAAGCTTGCAGTATAGCATAATGATTAGGCTCTGCTCCCAGCCAGGTTGTCTGGGTTTCAGTCATAACCCCTGCTTTTCATTAGCTATGTCATGTCGCGCAAATGATTTATTCTACTAGTGCCTCAGTTACTTCATCTGTAAAGTGGAAGTAGTATGAACCTTACAGATCTGTTGTGAAGATTAAGTGACAGAAAAGCACACACAGTGTTTGACTTGTGTTTTTTTGAGACAGGGTCTCACTAGGTAGCCCAGGCTGGACTGAAACTAATGATCCTTTTGACTCAGCCTCACAGGTGCTGGAATTTCCAGCATGAGCTGCTCTGCCTGGCTATGGGCTATGTTTGACATGTTTTAAGTGTTCAACAAATGTTTCTGTGTTAAATAGCAAATTCCTTTAATGTGTTCTTGGATATTTGTGGGTTCAGATTGTTAATGTGATGGGGGGTGAGGGAAGGTTAAGTTATTGAGCAATAATCAAATGAAGGCTTAGCAGAAGAAGAGATAAGGGGCCCAGAAATTATATGCCAGGAGCTATTTACACAGACTTCATAAAGTGTTATTTCTATGTGTAGGGCCTCTTGCCCTGCACATTCTTAGCTGCTATTCTCTTCAGGTAGGACTTCTGAGCTCAACTCTATTTTAGAAGGGAAAGCTGAAGCTCAGGGAAGTTACAAGATTGCCTGAGACCATGAAGGTGGTGAGTCACAAAAGCAGAATTCCCAAGATCCCATGTCTGTTTTTACAGTCAATGAATTGGAAAATTATTCAACTTAAAATCCAAATTTACCTGTAGGCCTTCAGGATATAGATTGGTGATTAGAGTCTTGAAGTGGTAGGTTAGCTCTGTGTTATTGTAACAAAATACCTGAGGTAGAGAATTTAAAGGCAGAAAGCTTTATCTCACCTCATGGTCTCAGAATTTCAGTCTGTGGACACCTGTCCCTGTGGTTGGGGCCTGTGGACCACAGTTCATCATACAGTGACAGTGTAGTGCAAGAAGACCTGCTCCCTTCATAGTGGCCAGGAACCCAAGAAAGACAGGAAAAGGCTGGGGCCTCAATATTCCCTTCAAAGGTCCCAGATGATCTAATTACTTCCTGCAAGACCCTGCCCCTTAAAAGTACCACTACCTCCTCCCACTAGGACGGTGATCTGGAGACCAAACCATCAACACAGAGACCTCTGGGTGACCTTCAAGGTCTGAATTACGATACACAGGGTAAGAAATATTCTTGCTAGCAGTTCATCTGCCCCTGGCTCTGGATTGCTGTTTATCAAGCTAATTACTAGTGAGAGTTCCAATCCCAAGAGAGAAGTGACCCCTTCTTTCACAATAAGAACCCTTTTAAAAAATTAATAATCAGGTTAACTCCAAAGGAACAAGGCAGCTTTTTAGAATTTTGGCTTTGATTCTTTTATATCACAAGGGTAGAAGTTGCTGAAAAAATTTTTGATTTCAATTTTTCTTTTTTCTTTCTTTCTTGGGGCTCCAGAACAGAGATTAAGTATTATCTTTTAGGATGTTTGATTCTAGAATCAAGATGTGGGCACGTGTGGGACACGTGCAGCAGATGCTTGGGGCTGCGAGTGTCACCCAGAGATGAATGTGTAGGGCCCTGGTTCCATTCCAGCAACACAGAACTGCATCTTCCTCAGTTATTAAGAGGCTTATTTAGAACTTTGCTTGCTTTGTTAGTTTCAGTTGGAAAACCCATGATTGGTACCATCCAAGGACAAATGGGTATTTGTTTGGGAAAATTACACTTTTTATATGCAGTTGGGTAGAGGGATTGAAGAGGCAGCAAGAAAAAAATCAGTTAGGGCCATGATGGGACTGGGAGGAGCCGACCACCAAGCCAGAAGCCAGGCTTTCTGGTAAGCCGTGCAAGCCATGGGAGAGAGAAGCCAGATAGCACCTCCTGTGAGCCTGCCAGCACACAGGCTGAGGCACCCCGCCCCACTCCTCTGTAAGCAACTAGCTGGTTTGGAGTACAGGCTGAGTTGATGCAACTGAGGTACAATAAGCCACGGAATGCTTGAATTGTTTGGTTGACTTTGCAGGCCTGGGCATCTGTTGGGCATGGTATGGGCATCTTTTGAGAGGATGACAGTATGCAATACAGCAAATATGGGGGATTTCCTTCTATCTGGTTTTTGAAATCCAGTATTGTTCTCACTTTTATTTTATTCCAATTTATCGTTTTGCTTTATTCAATATCCTGTTTTTTTTTGTCTTTTTGAGACAGGGTCTCACTATGCAGTTCAGGCTGGCCTTGAGCTCATTTTGTAGCCCAGGCTGGTCTTGAACTCCCAACAATCCTCCTGTCTCAGCCTCCCAAGTGCTGGGATTACAGGCATGAGCCACCACACCCCTCAATATCCTGTTTTGATTGGTTTTATTCTGTTCTGTTTTGGTTTGATTTTGCTATATCTAATGAAATGCACAACTATTGTGAAGATAACATAATATACTATGGTAACCATTGTTGTTTTTTTATTACCCTGCTTTGAAGTTCTGTACCAATTTCACTGTTTTTTTTTTTTTTTTTATTGGTACCAGGGATCAAACTCACGACTGCCTGCTTGCAAGGCAGGCGCGTATGCCGCTGAGCTAAATCCCCAGCCCCCACTGTTTTGTTTTGACTGAGTTTATTCTGTTTATTTGTTTTTTTATCTTTAAAATAAATAAATACATAAACCCAAGAAAATTAAAAAAACAAAGAAAAGAAAAACTGAGTTAGAAGTCACCTAACGGTCATTTTGTGACTGTGTGTTCTTAGAGTTTCATCAAGGCATGCTTGGCATGTACGAAGCTGTCCATAAATATGTTGTTGAAATTTGGGTATGTTACCCCTGTGAAATTACCACCACGAGTGAGACAAAGAGCACATCCATCCTGACCCTGTTCCTCATGCTGGTTTGTAATATCTCTCCCGCCCCTCTAACCCTAATGCCCCTCAAACTACTGGTCTGCTTTTGTCATTCGAAATTAGTTTGCATTTTAGAGACTTTTATATGAATGGATGCAACATCATAGGGGTTTTGGCTTTCTTTTAACAACGATGACACCTTTTTTTCAGTCCTGGAGATCAAACCCACAGGTGTGCTATCGCTGAGTTACCTCCCTAGCCCTTTAAAAACATTTTCTCTCTTAAGATTGGGTCTTGCTAAATTGCTCAGGCTGGCCTTGAACTTGCAGGCTTCCTGTTTTAGCCTCCCAAGTGTCTGGGAATATAGGCCTTCCATCATAATGCCAAGCCAGAATAATTGTTAAGAGATCTATTCACGCTCTTCAATCTGAGAACAGCTCATTTCTCTTCATTGCAGTGCAGTGCTCTACTGCACAGTTATGCAGTTTATTTATCTGTTCTTTTAGGATGAATAGGTTATTGCCTAACCGGGCCCATTTGTGGTATTCACAGAGAGGCAGAGGACCAAAAAGAGGAAGTATCCTGCACGGGCCTTAGCTGAAGTCCAGAGTGCCTTTTGGAAGTATGGGGAAGAGTACT